TCCCTTTTTTATAAAATGAATAATCCAAAGTTAAAAAAAATGTAGCTAGTACCTCTTACAGTATTAGTTCTGTCTTGAAACTAGGGACATACAATTTTTTTGTTTATATTTTAGCAGTCTCGTCTGCTTTTTCTACCCTAAAAAGTAATTCTGGAGATAAGATGGAATAAGATTTGGAAAGTAATGAAAATATAATTTTCATCTAAATGCCCTAATCTGATGTAAATTTTGTTAAACATTGATAAAATATCAAAAAGACTTCAGGGTTTTCTGAGGTGTATAACTGAGAAAACTATACAAAAAAATCTACAAAGCTCACTAAAACAGTCTTCCTTTATTTGTCTATAAGTAAAAGTTGATAATATTTATTTTCTGTATTTTCTTCCTATTCAAAAAGGAATTTATATTTCTGTAAATTTATATCAGATCAGTTTAAAATCTTTTTTTTTTCATTGTTTCACTTTGTTCTGGAAGTAGATAACAAAGGTCTAAGGTTTAATAGTTGCCACTAGTCCTAAAGACACACAGGTAACTTCTTTAGTATTTCTTAATACAATCTGGTAAAGTAAACCCACCTAACTGCTCAGGTATTAACTATAATTGTAACTCTCTCTGTCTTTACAATACATCTGATCACTCTAATTGCTCTTTTGCACGAATTTTCTTTAAAAGAATGTGTGGGTTACACATGCACATATATACTGTGATTTATATATACAATTGCCTGTATGTAGGTAGGAGAGACACTTCCTATTTTATAGCCAAATCTAAATTCTAATTTCTCATTCTCCCATTTTGTCCCTTTAGAAAATTCTCAACAGAATGTTTCAACAACTTGAAATCTCTTCCAGTCTGCCTACTGGTCACTTTCACTGTTTTAAAAAACCCAATTAGAATGGCTCTTAAAATGTGATTCATCACTTTTAGAGAGAGGCTGGAGATAAAATTCTGGGCAAAATTAGGGCAAAGCAATGAGATGAATCTCTGAATTTTTGCCAAACTGGAAAATATAGAGGATAACCCATTTTCATGCCCCTCAATACTTTCTGTAATGTGATATTTCACCTAAATAAACTGGGCATACAACTGTTATGTAAAACATGATTTATTTGATTTCTGACCCTCATTATTTATTTTTAGGTGCTACCACCTTGCATATTTCCTTTTGTGAAGAAGAGGCATGCAAATATAGCCATCTACAATTTCTCAGAAAGTACTATGTCCACAAAAATTCTTTTTAACCTATAAGTTTGAATTGACCTTGTCCTTTGTCTATGCCACACCCTGAGCCATCTCTACCTCTTTCTGTTCCTTATATGAAGTTAAGAAAATACATATATACACTTGTAGCAAATGCACTCTCACAACTATTAACTAACTTCAATAAAATAAATTCTCAAAAAGATGAAATCAGAAAAGGAAAATGCATTATTAGTACTGTCTTCATAAGGGAACTACCCAAACTCCTTAGGGCCACCTAAATTTAGTTTCGTCCCAGGTTGTAGGTACATGAATGTTCATGTACTGGGGGAAAAAAAAGTAAGCAGGAAGAAATTTCATAGATAATGCCAGCAGAAATTCACACACAGCCAAAATAGCCAAAATTACGAACGTATTGACTGGCATCCAAATGTTTCCTTAAATTGCAGTAAAACACAAAAATCATGAACCTTAAAATTATTTACCTCATCCAAAAGGAAAAAAAATAGCATTCCAATTATTATCTCGGAGTGGTTAGGGTAGGTGGGGAGTAAGGGAGTCTCAAAGACACGTTTTACCTTTGAATAAATTGTATGTTCACAAGGTAGGAGGGCATGTAGGAAAAAATGTAACAGTTGACATTCTATACATGTCTGTTTTGATATATTCTCTTAGATTTAAAGGAACAATTTGGAAATTTTTCCAAAAATAATTATGACAGGGACCAGTAAAAGAGAGCTGAGTTGTAACCATTTTTGTCTAATTCTAGCTGTGTTGGTGCTTAGAAGTTGCTTTAAATAAGCAAATGGTAAAGTAGAAAATGAGTTTAGAGCACTATTCAAGCCAGACTTGCTTATCTGTCCACAGTTCTCTAGTCTTGGTAATTCTCATATCACACTGTATTAAGAAACATAGTTTCAGCATCCTATATAATGACCTTTTGGAGCAGTTATCAGTTACTGCTTAACAGAATTTCAGTATTCACAAATGGTTATCAGATAATCCAGTCACAGGCCTGTCCTCCTCAAACAGGAGCAGCAAGTTCTGCCTTTCAAGTGTGTCCCTCAATGATTGGAATCAGTCTCCCTCAGTTCCCCCCTCTAGTTCTGCTGGACTGCAAAGAAATAACAGAGCACCCACATAAATGAAATTAAAAGCTGCACATGAAATATGCATGAACTATGGTAATGGTAACCTATGTCATATATGGATTAAAGAAGGCAGATTCTGTACTAAGAAACTGATTAATTTTTGATAAGGATTTATAGACATGAATATTTTTGAAACAGAAAAATGTGCAGGACCTTTGTTTAGAGGTTCTGTCACATTCTAGACTCCGAGAAGGGTAAAAGTTAACTCGGTCGGTTGTTTTATCTCTAGTCCAATGTACAGGTTACAAAGAAGTTCCCTTTTCTTTTCAGCAAAAGTAGTAAATATTATTACTGAAGAAATACTAGAATAAATAGCCCGAGTTCAATAACCTTACAGGGTTCAAGTTACCACATTCAGGTCAAATCAGCAATTGCCCCGAGGAGATTTTTGAAAGAAATAGCCTACAGCAAGACTTTTAAGACCTTCTACTGGAAGAGTAAAAGATGAATGAACTGTGGAGAGAACACTGGGTGGTCACAGCTTGAAAAAAAAAAAAAAAAAAACAGTGAAAAGAGAAATACCAGGAAAAGGATTTTATAAGTGGGTTTTCTCCCTACTGTTAGCCTAATTATATTTTTCTGCTGACTGGTTAACACTGATTAAATGCTGATTAAAGTGACAATCGTAAGCATACTTTTAGAAACAAATATGTATACCATGCTGCCATCACATTTAAAACTTTAAAAGAAAAACCTCTCAAATTTATGAAAAGTAGAAGTCCCTCCCAGAAATTGACTGCCTCCTATCCACTCTTAGACCATATGTTATTCTGAAAACTGCATAAAAATACTATTTGTTAAAGGTGTTAAAAGTAAGGCTGCCAGGGTGTCTATAAAATGCCAGTCATCAAAACTATGGAAAAACAGTGCTTAAGTTTAGAAAAATAATATCACAGGACCTCAGATGTATTGTAGGTGGTCCTTAACTACCTGCAGTTTAAAACTTTTGCTATATGGTACAGTGTAAAACATACTGAATTATAAATTCCATAGGGGAAGTAAACATAGAACCCACAACAACTCAACTCATCCTAGGAGTTATCACCAAAAATAACAATGTGTTTGTGTTCCATGATCTCCAAAGAACAAAAAAAATCAGTTTACATTTTGCAACAAATTCTTTTTTCAAGAGTAAAATTACTTATACCATTTTAAACTGCTGAAGTCCTACCCCGAAAACTCTAAACTTTCCTGCTTTCAATCATAATCCTGAATATCAGTGACAAATTAGAATCTCTTAGGTGAATCTATACGAATCAGGTGATTTTTTTCAAAGCATGATATGCCTTATATCTACGTGTGGCAGAAATGAACTGCTCTTAAATTCCCACAAAATAAACAAGCCAAGTGATCAAGAAACAATATCCCCATCCCCATCCCTTCTCTCTTCTATTTCTTCCCTATTAGGCAGACCAAATGACACTGCGTCCACAAAATAAGAATTATCGACAGTAATATTTAAAAAAAATAAAAGGTATGTCAACATCTGAAGGAAGGTGGGATTGTAAGTGCAGTATTTCTTCATGTGCAGTTCTTTACTTCATAGGGGTCCCCTTTGGAATGAAAAGGCCTAGTGGAATGTGTGCTCCCCTCGGACAATGTGTGATGAAAACTCATAACGGTCTTGGCTTCTATAGCCACAGATGTTGCATTCCAGTGGGTCCCGGTAGCCATGGCAACCCATGTGAATGGTGTACATGACATGGTCTAGGAAAAGGACTCGGCAGTGCTCACACTTGAAGGCCCGAATCTGTTCTCCTTCTCCATTGAAGACCTTGTAGATGTCCTTCAGAGAGCCCTTAGAAGCCTTGGTAGTATCCAAAGCCTTGACATCCTCCTTCATGTAAGCTGGGCTTTGTTTCCTCTTGGGATTTAAGGCAGGGTTTCCTTGGTAGGACTGGTGGTCATCATGGCTGCTTTCTGAGTCAGTAGAATCCAGGCAGCTGTTGCTGGGAGAGGCCTCTCTTTCCTGGGGTCGACTCTTTGGTCTGATAAGAGAGATAGGGCCATCCATGTTGTTATCATGACTATCAGAGGTTTCCCTGCTAATGGGTCTTTCTATCCTATTTGGATGATAGACCTGAGAATAAGCTGAGCTTATAACTGGGGCCACCTCAGCGATTGTGCTTGGCGGGTGCTGCATCAGAGGGTGAAGGGCCTCAGCTCCAAGGTAGGTGATTGCATTGTTGATGGCTTGGTCCATCATATGAGACTGCATCAGCTCAGCCTCCTTCTCATATGTTAAGTTCATATCAAAGTGAATATCTGGGTAGCTGAATCGCATGAGCTTTTCTCCTGAAAGGGAGAGCAAGAAGAAAGAAAAAAGAAAAAAAGAATACAACAAAATTAGTGACTGGGATAACAGATATAAAAGAGTATAGAGTTAATCACCTCTATTTTTCACAATTAGGTATATCTTATCCTTTAGAATCAAGTATTTGGGCTCTTTAATCCTGCTGAGACTCATTGATACTCTTAACATGAAAAGAAAACAGCCAATAAAAATTTCATAAGCCATTTGCATTTGTTCTTATGTCATCATGAGAATGTACCTAGCCTGAAAGGTATGAGTAAATTTATCTTATTTTCATTTTCTATTAAAATTCTCACTTGAATAGGACTCAGGAACTATAGGAGAAAGAACACCAAGTGAAAATAAGTCAGAGACTATGCTTTTTTTTTGCATATTTCAAACATCAGTGACAAAGCTACAAGGATGATAGAAGTGAGGGTGATCTGGTTATAACATGTCACCTCACTGTTTCTGTGTAGGGTTAATTTGGTAGATTTAGCTGCTGTTTTAGAAAAAAATCACAGCCCAGTATACATCATCCTGGAAAATTCAAAAGTCATTGTTAAGACACTTTTAAAAGCTCTATCTCTTCATAAAATGAATGATATTAAAAATAGGAGTTACTTCAAAATATACTTGTTCATAAACTTGGTAAATATTATGTATGTTTCATTGTTTTGCTTCTTGAAATTGATGACTAGTCACTTTTACATCATCCCTTTCTTATTTAGACATATGTGTGACGGTGCTGGTATATACCCATTGTTAGTTTCTCATACTTTTTCTTGATTAAAGTATCTGTAGTTTTTCCCATAATATTTATGTCAACAAATATAATTTTACTTCAATATTTTATTTCAACATAATGTCTGAACATTAACTATAAGAGTTTTGGTGCTTAAAACACAAAAGCAAATTTTAATTTTTCTTCACATATTACCAGTTTTGGACAGACTATTTCATCTTCTAAAAATTATGTCCCTAACCCAATGTGGTGTCCAATTATTTGCTTAGTTACTTAGATAAGTAAAACTTACAGATAAATGCTTCTTAAAAATATATGTGGTCTTATTATAAAAGTTTAATATATGGATGGATGCCTAACTTTTAATGTTGATAGGAAATGTTGATCCACAGAATTGTATTCTGGAAAAGCATATTAAGGTACTTAGTATTATTTCAGATTTGAACAAATGGCCCCAAAGTGAGATTAATGTAATGAATGTAAAGAAATTTTCTCACGGCATCCAATTTGAAATACCGCAATGTTAGAAGTTTCAAAGTTAAGCTAGACAAACTTGATCTTTTTTCTTAAAGAGCTTACAGTTTAGAGGGAATGACAGCAGTTTAAGGATCTCTTGTAATACAGTGTGATATGTGTTATGAGGTTAAATAACAGGAACACATAACTCACACTAGGGGAGTAAAGGAAGACTTCTTGAAGGAAGTGGCATCAGGGGTAAGAATGTGATGGTAAATATTAGCTAAGTAAAGAAACACGGGGGTGGAGCAGCTGGTAGGAAAGATCGGAGGCAAGAGGGCATGACTTATAAATAAGGAATTACGTATACTTCAATATGGCTGAGAGTAGAAACAGATGAGAAAGACAAGTCATAAATATAAGGCTCATTCAATTTCTAAGAAATTTGAATTTTATCCTAAAGAAATAAGAATTGAAGGAGTTAAACAGAAAAGTGGCCTGAAGATATTCATTTAGCAAGAGGGGTTAGGAGGTTGTTGCGGTGGAGATCATGTTGGTCTGAACTAGTGGAGTGGCAGTGAAAAAGGAGTCAATGGAATGGACAGAAATTTAGAAAATACACAGTTACTAGGGCTTGGTGATTATCTAGACATAAGAGAATGATAAGGAGAAAGAAGCACGAAGCCCAGCTTTCTCGCCTGGGAAACTCAGATGGAAAAGATGATGAATTCAGTTTGGGGAAGACTATGAGTAGTACTCATGTGCAGTATACTTAGATATAGTATCAAACTCAGGAGAGAGATCTGGGTTTTAGATGGAGATATGAGAGTCATCAGTTGACAGGAAGCAACTTCTAAACCCATGGGAATAGATACTATCACCCAGGCATAGGGAGAATGTGAAGAGTGAGGGTCAAAAGTAGAACACCAGGATTTTTATGCCTACCTGTACACCAAGGCAAGTGGGATTCTTGCACTGGGCCTCATGTTTAGAGCACCCTGGACCTTGCTCCTCATGTAATGAGGAGTCTGTAGGGCCAAGGGAATGTGCTGATCTGGAGCTCCCCAGACCATTCTCTGGATACCCTGGATCCCAGAATTCCTTGCCCAGATGGCAAGGAGCCTGCTTCCAGGGTCTATGCAGTCCTCTTTATAGTCTCTACCCTCCTTAGTACCAACTGTATTGCTGGTAAGCACACACCTAGGCCTGAAGCATGGCCAAGGCACTGCTCTTTAGGTGCTATGTATGGGAACCAATGCAAAACGAACTTGGATATATAGGCTGGATGGCTACACATGTGTATCAGGCCCCACTGGGTAATGGACAGAACCAAGAGTGGGTCTAAGAGCAGAGCCTGGCTGTAAGCCAGGGGGAGGTTCTACTCATGCTGCCAAGGTCTGGTGTCGAGCTACAAGGAATCTGAAAATTCCATATTTATTTGGACTTAATCTTCTAAGCTAGGAGGCTAAATATGAGTTTTTCAGATAGATTTAGAATATGAAAATGTTTAGGCATATGAATGGGGGCTTCCATTTATACTTTGCCCCATTTGCATAGCTGTTAGGGATAAGTCCATAAAGAAGACTGAGAAGGAGCAGTCAGAGAAGCTGGAGGAAATACAAGAGACATCAATGTCACAGAAACCAAAGAAAAACTGTGTTTCCAAATGAACTATTTAGTAGTGGCAAATGCTCTCCAGGAGTTGTGTAAGATACTGTATAAAAAGGGTCAACTGAATTTGGCACTATGGAAGCTAGTAGTGATCTCAATGAGAATGATTTCAATGGAGTGCGGGGAAGAAAGCCAGGTTATGTGGACTGGGAAATGAGCAGAAAGAAAGAAATCATAGAAAGCAATCACAGAGAATTCTTTCAACAATTCCATGGTTGAAGAGGAGAATATAGGTGATAGCTGAAAGGAGACTTGGGTTTAAGGGAAGATTTCTTTTTTTTAATTATGAGAGTTTATCACATTAAATTCTGATATAAAAATGCCAATAGAGGGGGAAAGTTAAAAAATATAAGTGAGAAAGAGCAAAAATAATAGTGTAAAGTACTTGTGGGGAGCAGGATAGACTTCCAGGGCACAAGAGGAAGAATTAACCTTAATCAGAAAGAGGGATACTTCTTTCATGGAAATAAGGGGAAAAAAATATTTATGTGGATGTACATAATCCTATAGGATTTGTGATATTACACTGAAATCATTTCAACTGATTTTATTCCCTATGAATATAGATACACGATCACCAAGGAATGAAATACCATGTTTGCAGAGAGTAGAGGAAGGTTGAAATGGCCAAGGTGTAGAGTAGGAGAGAAGACTATTCAAAGATGGATTAAAGAGAGTGCTGCTGCATAGGATGCATGGGCCAACTGATATTTGAGATCAGTTATTCATTTAGCTGTAGTGACACCAACTCGTAAGGGCCGCTGAGATATAAATATGGAAAAGATGTGCACTCTGCTTTATGAGAGAGTGAGGTTTCACCAGGAGAAGGTGATAGATGGGACAAGGCAAGAGAATAGTAAAACGGATAAACCACGGAATCTAAGCCGGATAAGGAAAGAGAGGAAGGGACAAATTGATATGCGGGACATTCAGGGATCACTGGCCTGGAGAGCTTAATAAGGTCAAAGAACAGGATTTAACTGAGGGACACAGTAAAAGGAATTTATGATAAGTGTGGAATGATGAAAATTTTCCTTTTAAGTGCAATCAGAAATGGTTACTGTAGCTATTGTTTATTATACACTACTAGGCTAGAATCCAAATAAAAATATACTCTCAAATTCTTAATAAAAAATCTGATGTCATTATTTTAGGGTCATATCATAATTCTCTAAAAATCTTTCTCTTTTCAGGAATGTTATCAAATAAAATTGAGAGTCACATCTTTAAGGCATAGGAAACATGACAAAAATATTATAAAAGGCAGACTATACAGATTCAGAAGACAAATAATAAATTTCATATTTTTCCAACTACAATAGTCAGATAGAAGCATTTAATGACATCTATTAAACTAGTCAACATTGAAAACAAACAGGCTTTTTTCCTTTTCTTTTCTTTCATAGTTACTACTAAAAAGAAAGAAAGGAACAGAAGGAAATGTTACCCAGGGCTCAAGGTAGGCCTTTGAGTGTCAAGGGCCTCAAACTGACCTTGTGTAAACTATGGCCCTTAGAGTTACCTGTTAGCTTTCTTTCAATGAGCTTTCAATAAATCCCTCCAGCTAGTTTTAAAGTGCTATTTTTGGGATTTGTTCTTCAATTTTAGATTGAAAGGAAACCCTCTCTGTTTACTGAAGTAATAGAATTTTATTACTTTCTCCCTGAAATAACCAAAGAAAAGATTTTTCTCCCAATCACTACTCCATTAGGATGTCCCACAATGCCAACATTACAATGTAAGAATGTTTGAATATTTTTATCTCTTATTTTTATCTTATACTAAGTCTACAAGAATAGATACATTATATATACAATGAATGGAAATTCTTCAACAATTCTATTGAATCTTCATTATTCATACATTTTAAAAAAATACATTCTTTTTGTATTCTCAGTGACACTGACTTACAGCATGCATTCAGAATCATGCCAACACTGGGTGTATCAAAGAATATCTAAGGGTTTAGAAATGAAAAGGGAAAGTCTAAATATATGATATTTAATCTTTTCAGTTCAAAATCATAGGCTGGATAAAAAAACAAAGATCAAAGTATAAAATATAGGTCCAAATATAAAACATCTGGAATGTAG